CCCTTGCAGTGAAGCTCTTCGAGGTGATCGAGACAGAGAAGACGCTTTACTTGGTGATGGAATACGCCAGCGGGGGTGAGTGGGGGTCTGGGGGGCCCCGGGGGGTTTGGGGGCCACAGGGCTGCCCCTCACCCCCCACCCTGTGCCCCCCAGGCGAGGTCTTCGATTACCTGGTGGCCCACGGGCGCATGAAGGAGAAGGAGGCCCGGGCGAAGTTCCGACAGGTCTGGGGGGGGTGGTGCTGTTGGACCCCCCCTGCAGGGGTTGGGGACCCCCCCAGCGTGCCCCCAAGGGGGCTGGGGGTGTCCCTGTGCCCCCCAGCTGGGCTGGGCCCCCCTCTGACACCCCCCTGTCCTGCAGATAGTGTCGGCCGTGCAGTACTGCCACCAGAAATTCATCGTGCACAGGGACCTGAAGGTGAGGGACCCCCACCTGGGACCCCCAGAGCGGACCCCTGACACCCTGGGACCCCCTGGCACCCCTGGGACCCCCAGAGTGGCACCCTGACACCCCTGGGATCCCCAGGACCAAACTCCCAATATCTCTGAGACCCCCAGGGAGGTGCCAGGACCCCCCAGCCCAGTCCCAGCTGCACCCCCTGCCCCCAAACCCCCCAGACCCCCCGTAACCCCCGCTGGGGCGCTCTCCCTCCCCGGGCCAGGCCGAGAACCTGCTGCTGGACGCCGACATGAACATCAAAATCGCCGATTTTGGCTTCAGCAACGAGTTCACCTTCGGGAACAAGCTGGACACGTTCTGCGGCTCGCCCCCCTACGCCGCCCCCGAGCTCTTCCAGGGCAAGAAGTACGACGGGCCCGAGGTGGACGTCTGGAGCCTGGGCGTCATCCTCTACACGCTGGTCAGCGGCTCGCTGCCCTTCGACGGGCAGAACCTCAAGGTGTGGCCGTGGTTTGGGGGTCCGGGGGTGGTTTGGAGTCACCCTAGTGTGTTTTGGGGGTCCCCGTGGGTGGTTTGGGAGCCATCCTGGATGGTTTTGAGGTGCCCATGGGTGATTTATTGGTCCCCATGGGTGGTTAGGGGTCCCCGTGGGTGGTTTGAGGGTGCAGGGGTTGGCTTTGGAGTCACCCTGGATTGTTTTGGGGTCCCCGTGGGTGGTTTGGGGGTCCAGGGGGTGGTTTGGTATCCCCGTGGATGGTTTGAGGGTGCCCACGGGCGATTTTGGGGTGCTCACGCGTGGTTTTGGGGTCCCCCAGGAGCTGCGGGAGCGGGTGCTGCGAGGGAAGTACCGCATCCCCTTCTACATGTCCACGGATTGTGAGAACCTCCTCAAGAAGTTCCTCATCCTCAACCCCACCAAGAGGGGCACACTGGAGGTGAGGGGACCCCCAAACATCATCCTGGGACCTCCCCAACATTCCTGGGACCCCCCA